GCTATAGCAACAAACGTTTGCGTCATCGAAGGAGAAAATAAAGCCCAAGCGAGCACGAAACTGCAGTCCAGTCAGAATGAGACTCGACTTTGCGTTTGGAAGGAAAAGTTGGTTGGAAGAAATTCGTGAATTGGTATCATCGAAAACCGAAGCAAGGTTGATGCAAAGTGAATATTGTTGGATTGTGCGAAAAAGTGCTCGGCTCACCATCCTGCGACCCTCCGATCAACCTGCGTTGAGCTTTTAAGACTTAGTTTCTAACCAACCTTTTCTTGCAAATGGAAAGACATACCATAACCCTATTTTTTCCTATTTGACTGACTGAAAGCCCAGTGATATCATTGTGAGCAAATGGGCTAAAGCACCTTGGAAATTAATGTAGCCTATTTCGTTTAATGTGATGAATGACTGGCAGCAGAATTTTCCCACAATGCTATGAATAGAGCTGACGTTTCCATTCAATTTCACATAGTCTTGCTATACCAAAAGTTGTTCTCATTCCGGCTTAATTTGACTGCACTTTCGACTTCGCCTGGGCCGGATCAGCATCTCCAGGGGGATTCGAATCGTGACAGTGCAGTATGTGAGCTTGACACGTTAAACATTATTATTGTGTGAAAATGTAACTACCAATCCTTCATCAACTTGAACATGGTGAGCCCAATTCATAAGACCGTTTTCTATCCAATCTGATCATGTCGTAAGCATGGCAGACGTGTGCTGGAGTGATAATTTATGGTCATCAGTTGAGGGCCAAAAATGTGAAAATTCACAACAACACTTGACAAGGCTACTTTTTCATTTGTTGACAATATCAGCAATTGACTGCAACAGACAGAAGAGTCATTGTATGTACACACACATGCAGACACGCCAATCAACTGGCGTGTGCTCATGCGTCGGCACTTGATGTGGGACCGTTTTGTGGAAAGGCCATCTCTCGGGGCAGCAGGTGAACCACCGGTCTTGTCTCGATCCGGTCAGAGTCTCTGTGGTACAGTTGGGCTGGGCACGAGCCCGGCGTCGGCAGCACTTGGCGCGCCAGCTCCGTGCAGATGATTGGGCGAAGGAACGAGGCCAAGTCTCCCACACGATTGGTGCTTCTACAAGCCTGAGCAACGTGCTCGGCTCAGTTTAGGTCAACTCTTCCCTTTGGTCGTCAAGACGTGAACCACCTACTCAATGGTCAGTACATGCAGGCAATCTGGCATTCCATTTATTGTTCACTTGTTCACCCATTCAACTGTCCCACGCCAACTTCAATACCAACTATGCACCGAGCCATCTATTTGCTTGTTGACCCACTCTTATTTCTTGTAATTAGTCAATCACTTGTTTGTCTTTATCCCTTTCACCGCAAACCATAGCAGCAACCTTATTTGTCCTTTCATCGTCCTGCTCAACAAGAGGTTAATCAAGTTGGTGCTATTTCATTTTATGCCATCATATGTTTAGACATTTACACACTCATTCATTCACAGTGTTTGGCTCTTTATTTTTCTCATTCTCGTTCGTCTACTTTCACACAATTACACAAATACACACACACACACACACAAATTGACGCATACAGGTACCATAAGGCACTACGCTTTTCCGCATGAACTATTCTTCATACAGGCACACCAGCCCCAATCAACCTGACTCGTTATTACTCTCTCACATCCACATGCGCATTCAGATATGATTAGTCCCTACACTCACGTTCACACCTCCAGTCACTTTGGACAGCCATCTCTTACTCTCTCTATCATTCTCTCTCTCTCTCTCTCTCTCACACACACACACACGCACGCACGCACACACGAACACACTCACACATGCATACAGTCATGCAGATACTACTTGTGAAGCTATAGTTGTTCTCTTCTCTTTATCCCTTCTTTGCACACGTTCACCCACTTCTATAAATCTGTACACACACACACACACACGCACACGCACATGCATGCGTGCAGATGGACAGACTTGCAGATACGAACAGGACTGCATGGCTGGCTTGGCAGAAGGAGCTGTAAGGAGAGTTGTCGGTTAAAGGGAAGATTTTCGGCTCGCGATGAAGACGGTCGAGCGAATGATTGCCTCCGACCATTGGGGCCGTGTTCACTGGCGCCAACTCATCGTCACGAGTCTGGCCGCCTCGGCGTGGACACGACGGGCGTCCGGTTGCCGGGACAACGGACAGTTGACCCTGTCGGCCAGCCAGACTGCCGCAGCGTGGAGGGTGAGGCGAAAGGCGGCGCGAAACTCTGACGACATGCCGCAGTAGAGGACGAAGGTGAGTCCATTCTTGACGAGCGACAGACAGTCGACCAGTTCGCCGATCCAAAGGTAGACGCAAGAGCTGTAGAACGAGTATTGGCTGAGCACCGCCAGCAACGCGTTGGGCAGCTCGACCGGGAGGCTGATGAGAATGACGAGCAGCAGCAGCCGACTGATCCAACGATGCTGGCGCACGCGTTTCCGCAGCGCCGTCGACAGACTCGACTCGGCCGGCTCCGGCGGCTCCGGCGGCTTTGTCGACTCCAACGGCTTTGCCGAATCCGACGGCTTTGTCGAATCCGGCAACTTTGTCGACTCGGGCGGCTTTGTCGAATCCGGCAACTTTGTCGACTCG